CTGGTGCCCAGGAGTAGAAGTTGGGTTTTATGAACCCAGGGACTCTGCGGACCCTGGGCAGGAGATGGGAAGGGATTGGCAACTTATGTGACAGAGGGGCGTTCATCTAGCCAGATCTCACCTAGCTGAAGGTGAAGTTTAAATGCTAACACCTGCTAGGCGTGGCGGTGCACAGCCGTAATTCAGGCATGGGAGGCTGAGGCAGGAAGATCGCTTAGAGTTTGAGGCCAGCCTGGGCTACATAGTGAGTTCGAAGTTGGCCTGAACTGCAAAGTGAGACCTGTTCCACTTCTCCCCAAAAAGCTAACAGCTAAAAGTGAGTTTTGTAGGGCTGGGGATTTAAGCCCAGTGGTTCCAGCACCTGCCTTGCAAGCGTAAGGTTCTGAGTTCGATCCCTGGTACCCCCCCCCAAAAAAAGTTTTGTATATATTACCCTGAGCCACAGAGGAAGAGAATATCATGAATTGTTAAGAGTTCCCTTCTTATATTTGTGTTTAGCCTCAGAGTCCTTTTTCAGCCAAACATAGAAGAAACAGAACCAAGTGTTCTTTCTTTTAAAAGTTCAAATGGAAATGAAGTGTTTGTAGATGGGGAGGGGAGGAGGGGGTGAAGGGAGGGCAGGGACAAGGGGAAAAAATGAGAACCAAGACCTGTCATGTAGAGGTACAAGATCCCAATGATGAATGTAACTGTACTGTATACCTAAAATGTACCAATAAACTCAGTGAGGAAAAAGAAAGTTCAATCCCTGTACCAAAAAATAAAATAAAATAAAATAAAAGTGCTAGGTGGGCCAGGGATTTAGCTGAGTGGATCGCATGCCTGCCTTGCAAAAAAGCAAGGACCGGATTTGAATCCCTAGTACAAAAAAAAGAAAAAAAAAAGTGCCAAGGTTAGGAAGGTATGTTTTTTAGGGGACATAGAGGTTGGTTAAGAAACCAGGTGTAAGTGGGTGTGGAAGTGCACACCTGTAATCCCAGCATTTGGGAGGCTGAGACAGGAGGATGACCATGAGTTCCAGGCCTGCCTGGGCTACATAGTGAGTTCAAGACCAGCCTGACCTACATAGCAAGACCCTATCTCAAAAAAACAACAAATAAAAAACCTCAAAACAATGACAACCCCCCCCCCCCGCCAAACAACAAGAAAGGGAGAAGGTGTGTATAAACCACAAACAATTTTTTAAAAAAAATTTATGGACAGAATTCATGTTTAATTACATAATTAAATACCTGTTTTCTCCTTGCAGCCTTCGGGGAGCGTGCACATGGTGGGCCTCGAACAGTAAGTGGGAAGCCCCCGCTGTCGGTGCACACACGGAAACGCAGGCTCATTCTCAGGCCGCCCTGCCCACTTTTGAACACATGGACTGCTTTAGAAGCCAGGCCCCCGGCAGGCCTTTTGTACAGATAAAAGCACGAAGTTTAGTTCAGAGTGGCTCCGTCTTTGATGGTCTCATGACCTTGTTTGCTCTAATATTTTCTTTTAACGATTCCAAAGTTCCTTGACCTAGTAGTTATGCTTTACAGTGGACGGCATATGTACTTTATCACATTTGATTCCGTGGCTGTCAGCAAAGACAAGATGAGAGCAAGCAGAGGCTCTACATCCAGAGCCACTGTAGCAAGGGGTCGACCGCCATGGAGTGCAGTTGGGGAGCAGCTCCAAGGAGAGGAGTGGGGAGCTCACAGTGGGAGGGGCAAGGCCTTGGGTGCATCTTGACGAGGGCTGATGGCTCGGAGGAGCTGCAAGTGGCTTTCGGCGAAGCGAGGCATCCAATGGGATTGAGCGGAGGGTGTGTGCTTGGCTTTACTGGTTGGTCCTAAATTGGGATCCAGAACAAAAGTTAAAGACACTGTCGGTTAGTAATCAAGTCTGTTTGGGGCTGATTGTAAAGGGGTTATTGTTCTGAGTTCCTGAACTGTCACTAGAAGTAGCAGCCTGGCTTCCTACAGACAGTAGTTAATAGAAACTCACGTGACCACTGTCCACCTAAAGCAACCTGCAAGTAAATGACCCTTTCCTGTCTCTAACCAGTTTCTACATCAACCTGTGCACTCTGGGCTGGAGCCTGTTCTCTCGAACACCAGTAAACATTCACCTCTCCCACCAGATGAGACGGACTGTTTTGTGTGGTGGTTCTGGGATCGAACCCAAAGCCTCACACATGGTAGGCAAGTGCTGTGCCACTGAGGCAGACCCCAGCCTGGCAGAGTTGTATTCTTGCTGGAGTTCAAGGGGGTGTGTGTCAAGCCCCTCAGGACCCCAGCCTTATTTTAATTACAAATGGAAAGATGTGAACATGAAAGAGCAAAATAGCCAGGTGTGGTGGCGCACACCTGTAATCCCAGCTCTCGGGAGGCTGAGGCAGTAGGATCTCTGTGAGTTCGAGACCAGTCTAGGCTACATAGTGAGCTCCAGGTCAAGACTACATAGTGAGACACTGTCTCAACAAAGCAAAGCAAAACAAAACAAACAAATGAACAAAGAGCAAAATAAAAAGTTGGTAAGTAGGGAGAAACTCAAGTAATTTCTGATCTATTCTGTTCTTTCAAAAAGACTTTAATATTTATGATTTTTTTTCATTTATACTATTAGTCTGACTTAGTTCCTTGAAAAGAAAGTTATGTGCTGTTGTGACTTCACTGTAGGACAGTCCTTTTTGCCTATGATTTGAGCTCTGAGTAACATTTTGGCAATTCTTTTAAGATCATGATACACAAGGTACTAACTATTGTTATTCGCTAATTATTTTGCTATGAAATTTTGTTTAATTTTTTCAGAGAGGTGAGTGGTTTTAATATTTTATTTATTAATATCTGCTTGTAGTACATTAAAATATTTTAAAAACCTAAATATGAGTTCAAAGAAAGCTATCTTTTTGGTGGTACCCAGGAATGCTTTACCATTGAGCAATATCTCCAGATCTATCTATCTTTCTATCTAGGCATCTTTCTAAGCTGCCTAGGCCAGCCTTGAACTTGCAATCCTCCTGCTTCAGCCCCTCAAGTAGCTGGGATTATAGGTGGCACTATCTGCCCTGCTGAAGTCATCATTTACATGAGAGCCATCTCATAGTTTAGAAAGACTCACTAAGAGACACATTGCTGTAAAAATGCTGTGGAATCATGTGTATATGAAACAACTGTAAATAATTTGGGAAAGATTTTTAAAAGATGTTTACTAATGCAAATGTGTTTAAGTTCTCACTGTGTTTCAGAGCACTGAGTGCCAGCTGGGGAAAGTTTTATTCCCAGCACATGCGTGGAACATGGTTAATGCCAATCCTGACTAAGGAGTAGTTACCTGTACGTAGTGGTAGAGCACAGGGAATCTGCTAAATATCTTACAGTGCATAGCACAGCTACAGCACAGAATGACCTGGTCTGAAATTGGGAAAGCCTGCTTTCAAGACCGAGAATAGAGATCCGAGGTGATATATTACGGATGTGCATTGGTGGTGAGAGCTTGAAGGACTCTAATTAGTTGAGATAGTCAAAGAAAGGTCTTATCCTGTGTATTCCTTAGATTCAGCTGCAAGGTACCGTGACGCAAAATACCAGCTCACAGCTCTACTGTGCTAGTATGCGTCCTTTGTCTCCTGATCCCTAAGATGAAGGTTAGGACCTGTGCCCCAGCAACAGGACCAGAAGCCCTTGGTGAGGCCTCCTTCACTGCCCAGCCCGACTCACAGCCAGCACTGCTTTGATCTTTATAAATTCAAATGACAGCAATAGAAAGTGTGTTCCATTTATTCACTGCAGAGATAGGGTGGCTTCTTTTACTCCGAGGCAAGGAAAGGTAGGTTGTTATCATTTACTTTAAAAGGAAAGAGGCAGGGCTGGGAAAGTAGCTCAGTGGCACTGTGCCTGCCTGGTAAGGGCAAGGTCCTGAGTTTGATCTCTGGTGGGTGGGGGTGGGGAGATACAGAGGCACATGTCTACGATACAGGATACTCAGGAGGCTGAGGGAGAAGGATCATGAGTTCAAGGCCAGCCTGGGCTACATAAGCAAGATCTTGTCAAAAAAAAAAAAAAATCAAACAGAATGAGCCATATATTTAACCTGTTGTTAAAATGGGGCTTTGTTTGCCACATTCTGATCATGTGACTAGTTCTGGCCCTGCTGATGAGCAGCACTCACTGCTTCTCTGGCCTTAGTGCCAGACAATCAGAGGAATGGTTTCCAGGACTCCCTATCAGGACTGCAGCAGTAGAGCACCACAAACTAGGTGCCTGAACAGCAGAAAGCAGCTGTCTCACAGCTCTGGTTGCTTGAAGTTCAAAATTCAGACATGACGAGCATTGGTTCCTTCTGAGGGCTGACAGGAGAATCTGTCCCAGGCCCAGTCCTAGCAGCCAGTGGCCTCCTGGTTTATCTGTGGTCTCTTCCCCATCTTTACCTGATCTTCTGTCTTCTACAACATCAGAATTCTACCATTTTAATGAGGTCACTAGTCACTTTGGTCTCATGACTTACTTACTTTACTTATTTATTTATTTATTGGTACCGGGGATCGAACTCAGGCTCTTGCACTTGCAAGGCAGGTGGCGGAACCACTGAGCCAAACCCTGGCCTCATGACTTTATTTTGATTTGATCACCTCTGTAAAGACCCTGTCTCCAAATAAGATACTATTCCAAGGTACTAGGACTTTTACATATCTTTTTGTGTATGTGTGTGGAGGGCAACATTACAACCATGACTACAGGGCCCAGGTCTGGACCTGCCGTTATACTAAAGGAGTAAGGTGGAAGATAGCAGAACATCCCCTCCTGGAAGTTGTAGTAAAGTTGGAATTATGATGTTTTTTTCCTTTGGTTTGTTTGTTTGTTTATTTGGTATTGGGAATCAAACTTGGGTCCTTGCACTTGCAAGGCAGGCGGCAGAACCACTGAGCTAAATCCCTGACCTAAAGTGGGAATTAGGAAGCCAGAGGCTATTAAAGTAGGGATGGCAGCATGCTTTGGATTTTCACTTAAGAATCAGATTAAAACCCCTGATGTCTTCTATTTTTTCTTTTTTTCTTTTTGTAGCAGTGGGGATTGAACACAGGGAATGTTGAACTATATCTCCTAGCCTTTTAAAAATTTTATTTGAGGGCCAAAAAAAAAAAAATCTTATTTGAGACAATGTCTCACTGAGTTGTTCAGGATGCCCTCACACTTGTGATTTTCCTGCCTCCGTCTTCTGAGTAGCCAGGATTACAGGCATCTGTCACCATGGATGGCTGTTTTTCTTTTTTCTCTGTGCTGGGGATTCAACCCAGGACCTCATGCATGCTAAGCATGGAGTGCCCTTTACCACCAAGCTATACCTCCAGCCTCTGAAGTCCTTTCCTTTTAAATTGTAGTATGTTTTAAACTATTGCATCAACATTGAATGTGATTTTGTTTGTTTGTTTGTTTTGCTTTGTTTTTCGTGGTACTAGGGATTGAACTCAGGACCTTGCGCTTGCGAGGTGGGTGGTGGCACCACTGAGCTAAATCCCCGGCCCCTCATTGAATGTAATATTTGCATTTGAAAAATATGTGTGGAAATAGAGATAGTTGTGTAGGATGTTTCTAAGAGATCTAGAGAGACTGGGACATTGTTCTCCCCTTAGCTGTTTTGTAACAAGTGCATCTCGGCCAGGGATGGTGGCGCACATCTGTAATCCCAGCACTTGGGAGGTTGAGGCAGGTGGATCACTGGGAGTTCAAGGCCAGGCTAGACTACATATTGAGACCCTGTCTCAAAAAGCCAAACAAAACAAAACAAAACAACCCAAAATCCAAGTGTGTCTCAAGTCATCCTCTGACTTCTCCCTCTTTCTTTTTTTTCAGCCAAACTGTTCTCGGTATCAGTTACCAGGGTGCCCCAAGAACCTTGATCCCGTGTGTGGCAGTGACCTGTTCACGTATGCCAACGAGTGTGTTCTGTGTCTGAAGATCTGGTAACCTGACTTTATGGCCATATTTTTCTTTACTTGAATTTTGATTTCTTGGAGATCATGAGTCTTTCCTTGAATATAAGAAGCAAATGTGACATAAATCGTTCTCAGTCTTCACACTCATGTGCACGAAGGTGTGCAGTCCTCAGTGCATTTTCAGGCCAGAGGTAGAGAAGGAGATGTGTGACTAATCACCTAGAGACCAAATAATTGGGTTCATGGGTGCAGATTTCCCAAAATGAAGAGTATATTTAGGGGCTGTGGGCATAGCTCAGTGATGAAGCAAGTGCCTGACGTGCTCAAGGCCCTGGTTTTGATCCCTAGCACCAAGAACACACACACCCACACACACCCCCCACACACGCACACGTATAAAAATAAGAGTATATTTAATAGTTAAGCGCCATGGAATATTACATTTTCTTATTTATTGATTGATTGGTACCGGGGATGGAACTCGGGTCCTTGTGCTTGTGAGGCAGGTGCTGGCACCACTGAGCTAAATCCCCAGCCCTACATTTTCTTTTAAATTTAGAGGACATGCGCAGGGCACCTGGCACCCAGTGTGTGTCCAGTTGGGAAGCAGTAAGCTGCGATACTCGGTGCCCTTCGTGCAAGGCACCTGGCCAGGTGACTGCCCCTCTGGGACACTGCCGGGCGAGCAGGGGCCCATGGCAGGCCGCAGTCTTCGCCCAGGAGCCTCTGCCTTCCCTGAGAGCTTCTCAGGGCTCTGTGCTCTGTCCCCTGGGGCTGGGCGCAAATGACAGAGTGAGGAAAGTGGGCACTTTGACCCTCCAGGTTTCCTAGATTTAGCTGAAGCCACGAGTGTGTAAAGACAGCCCTGGAAAGAGTCTAATATTGTCTAATGGTGACATGGGCCAAAATTATTATTTTCTATAAATTTTATTGGCACATTTAAGGTATACAATATAATCGCATTCATCACTGGAAATTTGCACCTTTACATAATCCATCTTGTTCTTATTTTTTCCCCATTCACATGGGCCTTTTTAATGCAAATAGTGAGCCAGCTTGGGTGTGACAGGAAGTGATGCTGTCCCTGTGGTGGTTCAATCTGCAGGGAGGATGGGCGTGACCTCAAAATCATCAGCGAGGAGCCCTGCTGATGGCCGCACACCGAGAGCCAAGCCGAGCTGAGAGCCCAAGCGACAGACGCCTCCCTTGCATCCTGCACCCTCCCTCTCTCCCGGGTTGCTATGCATGTGATTTGTTAGCCCACGAAGCAAAGGAGAGGAGGTGTGGGAGAGAGTTTAGTAGAAAACCCTTGTTTCTTCGCTTTTGCCCTTTAGTTCAGCTTGTGCATTGCTTTATTTAGTTGGAATAAAATCAGCATTGAATTCAGCTACTGCTCTTTTCTGTTGAAAGTACCATTCCCATTGTAGGAAAGGCAGAATTTTACCTTCATGTTAATTAGAGTCTTTCTTTATTTTTGCTTTTTTGAGACAGGCTCTTGCTGGCCTCGAATTTGCTGCAATCCTGCCGCAGCCTCCCTAGAGCCGGGATTACAGGGGTGCACCATCATATCGGACTAATTAGGGTCTTTATTTCTTCCTTTCCTTTTTTCCCACATACCTTCCCTTTTTGCTTTTGTTATGATTTGGTTTCAATAAGTAAAAAGATTCATACAGGTTAATAAAAAAGGCAGGGGTGTTTGCTGCATGACTGTGAAACAGCAGCCGTCCCAGTGCACGCTGAGGGCTGCGCAGATCACATCGCGGCCCTCCTCCTCCTCCCTTCCCCTCCTCTTTCCCTCACCCTGCCCTCCCTTCTCCCCGCTTCATTTCCTGGCAGTCCTGATCAGTGCTCCAAGGCTCCTTTGGTTCTGCTTGTCCTCTCATTGAGTTTATTGGTACATTTTAGGTATACAGAACAGTCACCTTCACCACAAGGCTCCTTTGGTGTCACTTCTGTATGTTTACTGTAAGTCCCGACCGCTGTGTCACTTGTGGGTTCCGGGAGGGTCTGTCCTGACCTGCTCCGTGTGGGCAGGAGCAGGAGTTGATGTGTTCCTGCTGATCCAGTGGAACCTGGAACCCCCAGGGTCTTTTAAGTTGTCTCCATCTGATGCCAGTGCTTTTGGGGAGAAGCAAACAGGTAGAAGTCTCCTTCTACCTCGCCTTGCAGCTGTGCGTTGGCAGCTGCTGTGTTGCTCCTAAACGTCCACCCTCCACACCGAGACTCACCCCGGTGACATCTCCATGGTAGCGTCCTGTAGCAGTGCACAGCACCACTGTCCCTGACACACTCCTGCTCCTCTGGGCCTGGCACCTGCCATCTCGTTGCGGTGGTGGTGATGCGGTCTCACCATCACCAGCTTCACAGGTCCAGATGGGTCTCCCTGACATATTTAGCACAAACCCCTGGAGGCCAGACTTCTCCTCCAGAATTCCGGATCTGCCACATTTTTATAAACAGCATCGGGAGGTACTGAGTCTCCATCGATGGCGACATCTTCAACAAAGGGTATAGAGGGCCCTCTGATGTTTGGCCTCTCAAAGTCATAACGGGAGCCAAGTGCTGCCGGTAAGTTCCAGCTGGCCCTGCCCAGGAAGATGCTCGGCTGGCCAGGTTGAGATGGAAGCTGAGCAGCTGGAGCTCGGAGATGTGCAGGTCCTTGCAGGTGGCGCCCAGACAGCTGAACTTCCAGATGGGTGCAAGGTCCAGGCCCACGTCCATGACCTCCACGGCAGGGCCCGATGCAATGGAGCCACCGCCGAGACCTCTCACCGCCCACATGGGGGTAAACTTCCTCAGCCACTCACTCTCATGCTCCCCAACCCCTCCAGTGAAGATTTTTCCGCTGGGCCTGAGAAGTAAGTGGACATAAGACGGATCAACAGGAGGGAATGGTGTGAATTTACTTGAAACAGTTTTTCCAACATGCAAGCCTTCATGAGGAAGTGTCCCACAGATGCACTCAGAGTTAACACTTAAGTACCGAACACGACAGAGTAGTGAATTATGGCCAGGTGTGGTGGTGAATACCGATAATACCAGCACTCTGGGAGGCTGAAGCAGGAAGATGGGAAGTTCAAGCTCAGCCTAGACTAGCAATTTAGCAAGACTATTTAAAAAAAAAAAAAAAGCCAGGAGCCAGGCATGATGACACACGCCTGTAATCCCAGCACTCAGGAGGCTGAGGCAGGAGGATCACCTCAAGTTCTAGGCCAGCCTGAGCTACACAGTGAGGCCCTGTCTCAAACAAACAAAAACAGGCATAGGTTCATAGCTCTTTGTAAAACTTCTGGGTTCAACCTCCAGCACAACAAACAAACAAACAGTAGTGAATTACAGAATGTAGCATGGTGGGTTAGGATGTTTGAATACACAAGTGGCTACCGAGGCTAGAAATTAGTCTAATAAAATTTGTACAGATTTTCCCCAACCTCAACTTCCTGTCCTTGGAGAATGCTACTTTCTTTCTAGAGCAGGAGGACTTCATTCATGTGTGATTTCATTTCCTGCTTTTTGGGTGGCAGGTGGTACTGGAGATGGAGCCCAGGGCATTCATATTCTAGGCTCTACCGCTGAGCTACATCCCGCCAGGCCTTTTTCTTTTCTTTTCTTTTCTTTTTTTTTTGAGACAGGGTCTCACTATATAGTTGAGACTGACCTGGAACTCACTGTGGGCCAGGCTGGTCTGGAACTCACAGCAATCCTAGATTGGCTAGAGCCACGTGTCTTTGTTTTTGTTTTTGTGTTTTGTACCAGGGATCGGTCCTTGCACTTGCGAGGCAGGCAGCACAACCAGCCCTAAATTTTCATCTTTGGTTTTTTTGTTTTTTGTTTTTTTTCAGAGCCACATGTCTTGAGAATGTTTTCAGACTTCATCCCTCAGCAGCCTCACACGGCCTTCTCCCTTCCCAGGCAAAGGTGAATTTCACTATGTGACAAGCAGGCTTCCTGTTGAGAGTGCAGTGTTTGTCCTGCTTTCCCCTTCCCTGATTCTGGGACAGCTACTTTGTGTGCAACGGGCACGATGTTCTGTTCATGGCACATGGCCATGAAATACCTGGAGCTGATGTTAACTTGAGCCAGAAAACAGTCAGGGAAGTGAAAATATTTACTAAGTTCAAAATCTCCTGTCAGCTTCGTTGCATTAAGAAATGCCTAGCGGTTAGCTGAGTGAGTGCTTGCGTGTGGTCTTGGTTAGTCCACGTGGTTCCCCACTGCTTCCCTCTGGCACTGTTTCTCTGCTCTATTTCCTGCTGCCATAAAGTAAGCAGCTTTGCTCTGATAGTTCTTTCCAGCACGAGGTTTCGGCCTTGGAGCCGGGTGACTGCGGGCAGAGTCCCCTGAAACCATGAGCAAAATTAAACCTCTCCTCCTTTACACTGTGGGCATTGGGTATTGGTCTCGGTGACAGGAAAGATGACTAATGTGCTACTTGTACCCTATGACAAGTGAGTGCCCGGTTCTTCTTTCCCCTACCGCTGAGTAATAGTAGCAGGGTCACCCAAACTCGCACAGGGTTGTATTGCACGCTGGGATTTGCGCTCTTACTTTATCGAGGAATTCTTGTTTTTCCCCTTAAAAACATCCATGTTATAAATGGTGAGAGGCATTGTCCAACAGTCCGTTCGGGGTTCTAGACTAGAAATTTCTCCAAGGACAGGCGAGATCCTGCTCCTCTGGCTTGTCATGGTTCTTGCATGGCTGAGACATACCTGGCAAGGTGCAGAGTTGTTGATCGAAGAAATGAAAAAGTGGCCTAGGAGGTTCACAAAACAATGACAGCAAGCTGGGTGTGGTGGTGCACACCTGTAATTCCAGCACTCAGGAGGCTGAGGCAGGAGGATCGCTGTGAGCTCGAGACCAGCCTGGGCTACATAGTGAGTTGCAGGTCAGTCTCAACTACACAGTGAGACCCTGTCTCAAAAACAAGCAAACAAAAAATGACAACAAACCACTAACCCCTACAAGTTTCCTTCCCTCCTCAAGAACAAGTAGAATATCTCAGCCCAGGAACCCACACAACACAGGGAAACAAGGTCTTGACTCCTTCCCAGAAGTAGTGAATTTTATTTTTTTCCTCTATGCTGCTCTGAAAAGGAGGCTAACCCTAAACACCCACCCCGCCCACCTGATCTCCAACAGTCCAGGAGTATAACTTATACTTGGTTTACTTTTGCTTTTGGTTTTACTTTTTTTGGGGGGGTAGTGGAAATCAAACTCCAAACCTTGCACTTGGGAGGCAGGCAGTAGCACCATTGAGCTTAATCCCCAGCCCTGCTTTTACATTTTCTTGAAGGACGTATTTTCTATCTATCATTCATTTAGGCCCTGAACATCTGTGATATCTACAAGGGCTGATGAAAAAACATGGTGTATTTGAATAAAAATTCATTATAGTACAAGACACATTGCCAATTTTCCCCCTCAGAATGCCCTCACTTCAAACACACCTAGTCCATCATCCTTGTCACTTTCTGAAGAAGTTCTGGAAGCCTTCTTTTGTGAGTCTTTAAAGGTACGGTCAAGCGTATGGTGGCTGCTGCCGCCCAGTGCCATCCAACAGAAAGGAAGGCTTGTAAAAACACGACAGAGTCGTCACCCACATCCTTCACAGGATCTGGCACTGTGTGACTTCCGGCTCTTCCCCAAAGTCAAAATGGAGGCAGCCACAGCAGTGCAATTAATACAGTCTGAAGCAGGCACCACTGTTAGACGTAAGTCACTGTCTTCCAACCCCCAGGACAGTCACTTCCCCTTAGTTGCAAAGGGTGAGTGCTCCCATCTGTGAGCTTCAAACTAAAGGGACCTGCATCCTGGTTTACTGGGGTGTTCACTGAACAACACTTGTTTTTAAGAACACTCTATCTGTTTGTCTTATTTATTTGCTTTTAAATAGAAAGTTATTTTATTTTTTTGGTACTGGGGATCGAGCTCAGGTCCTTGCGCATGTGAGGCAGGCGCCGGAAACATTAGGCTGAATCCCCGCCCAATAGAAAGTTATTTTAAGGCTGAAATTTTGCAGGGCTAAACCAAACAATTTTTCTACCGGAGAGACCCAAGAAAAGATGACAGACCTCTAATATTTGACAGACATAAGAATAATTAATCTGACTTCCCGGGCAGACAGATTAGGAGAGTTACACTAACACAGGTCTGGTGGTTTGTGCCTATAATCCCAGCACTCTGGGAGGATAAGGCAGGCGGATTGAAAGTTCAAACTCAGCCTGGACAATTTGGTGACCCAGTAAGAGCCTGTCTTCAAAAAACTTACCCCAAACAACAGTGTTCCTTTCTGGGTGTGGGAGGTAGAGACTGTGGGCAGTAGCATTCACCTTTATGAAGGTAGCAGAGGGAGAATTTCCTTACAGGGTGAGAAATCATTTCTAA